GAGTCGCGGCCGTCCCCGCGGAGCCCCTCGCAGAAGGGGGCTGGGGTGCGAGCGCCCAAACTCGGCCTGCGGGAGGCAGCCACGTCAGAAAAATGAATAATACGTGGTTTGCAACAGCGCTCTGTAGCCTGTTGATCTTGTGTACGGCCTCTCTAGAGCCACGGGTCTCTTAAATCCAGGCTAAAGGGGGGAGAAGTAACGTGGAAAGCAGGTAATTCCCCTGGCCTCGCTCTGAAGCAGTATGGAAGTTTATGTCTCGAATTCTCTCTGTCATCTTTTCCCATCGTCAGGAAATAGATGAGGATTTTTATTTCGATGCAGCAGATCCAGCTGGCCGACTCGCCTCGTATATGTGTGGCTCTCAGATTTTGGCTTTAATGCTGTTTTTGCTCTAAAGGAGTTTTTGAAAGTTAACAGCGTGCCTGGCTTTGTCAAACAAAGTTTTTTGCGTTTATTGTCTTTCGTTGCAAAAAGTTTTGCAAACAAGGTGAAAGCTGCTTTGTGAGGGACGCGAGTAAGCAGGTGCCTGCTCATCCTTTCTCAAAGGCAAAAATGATGCGTTCTGAACACGTTGCCTAGCAGGTCAGAACAGAGCATATAAAATTCGTACAACTTCTAAACATGTTAATGCTGCATATTTAATAATTTGTTATTTACAGGTTGTTCAGTTCTGCTGAAGGTGTGTTCTCCCACTGCAAAGCAGAGCATCAGTTTAACGTTTGTGACGTGATCATGAAACATGGTAAGTTTTTTTTCACGACTTGTCGTTTCCTTCTGTGTACCAGCATCTCGTTTAAAATAAATTGCGAAGATTAGCTTGTTTCTAACTGATTTCCTGGTTGTAGCTGAAGATTCCAAGATTGAACAAGATAAGCTGTTGTAGAGAAATGCTTCTATGTTATCTTTACGCTGGCCGTTTCCCATATGCTTTATCTACTGGTAAAGCTCTCGACTAGTAACAAAAGTAAGATTGATCTCTGCTGGCTTGTGCTGAGTCCCCGCCGCCTACTCGATCGACCTGAGCCAGCCCGCTGCATGCTGGAGTAAGAGCGATTTACCTGATCTCTTGGGATCTCTTGCCGGACTAGTGATGCTGTTGTTGGGCTCAGGAGCTTGGCAGAGACCAAAGCGGATGTATCCGCCGAGAGGTCAAGTAACTGGGCTGTACTGCTGGTGTCTTTTCCGCGCCCGTTTGCAGTCTCGGCTTGTGTTCCCTCCGGGGATCAGAGGAAGGCGTACCCTCCGATGGCTGTTTCATTCTTTCCAAGTGAAGTTTAAGGTTGGCTTTCACTTGAAGCTGTCACGTATTTAGGCCAAGGTGGTGACTGAAGGAAGGTACATATAGGAGGATGTATGTGAAGCGGGGGCAGGGGGCGGGCTTTGGGAGAGTTAGGTAAGTGCTGAACTACCGAGGCTGAAATCCGTCTCTTCCTGCATATAGAGGAAAACTGGAATGCCAGGGGAAGGGGAACAGTGTTGGAGAAACACTATTTTAAGAGCGTGCACTAAAAAGGAGAGAGAGATAAGGGGATGGGAACCACACGAAGCGTTTAGAAATCTGCATGTAAAATTGTAAGATCTGGTCTGTTTTCTGTATAAAATCCAATGGAAAGTATTTTGAGTTTATGCAGTATCCTCGCCGTTCTTGAGGAGACTACATAACTGCATTTAAACTACTGTTATTTCTGAGCGAGGTGGCAGTTTTAAATCAATATTGGTGTATATTCTTGATGAGTAGGATCAATTTATATTGTATTAAGCAGAAAGCTAAAATTATGAACAAAGGAGCACAACAGCCTAAAATATCAGCAAGGTAGCTAGTAGGAGATAAATGTGGCTGTCCTGATGCAGTTGCTTGCCAAATGAATGAGATCCCTGTTCATAAGCCACGTTTGCATGTGTTCCATTCTTAATTTGCAGCAAATGTATTTGTCCTGAGGGTGAGAATTTCCTGGTTTGGTCCTAAAGAGAAGAAAAATGTAGATGGCAAACTTAAGATAGGAAGGCTGCCCTAGATAACGATGTACACCCCCAGGGGGAAGCTGGCCAATTGAACAAGTAATTAGTATTCAATTCATTGAAAAATACGTGTGGGTTTTCTGTAATGCAAGCTCTCTTTACTTTTTTTTTTCCCCATCCCCCTCCCCTTTTATTTCTTTTCAGGACTTGATTTTTATGGATATGTTAAACTAATAAACTTTGTTAGATTAAAGGTAGGTGTGCCACTTATTACTTCCACACTCTATGTCTGGAGAATGGGAAATCAAGATGCTGTGCTTTCAATTTGCCTTTTTTTTAATAACTGTATGAAATTTTGTGTTATATTTCTAGAAATAAGAAATCACGGGAATTAAAACAGTTAAAAATAAAAGTTGTTTTCTTTTTTAATTAATGTGAGTTTTACTGTTTCCAGAAGAGGATGTTCAGACTTGCAAAAAGCCCGTGCTACGTAGTATCATGTTTTGTTAATTCATCTTGGCCTTCGACTCTGCTGTCTTGCTCCAGTAATGGGTTCACTTCTTGATAACTGAAGTGTCCTCACATGCGTCTTGGTGTAAAAGAGGCTTTCCTGGGCATGTGAGGTGGCCAGACCCCTTCTGCACTGTTAGTAAGGACAACACCCGATCCCTTAGGTTACAGGACCTAAAATTAATCTCTGCTAAAAGGATACCAGAATCAGGAAAGCTGATGGGAACCTACAGTTCTAAGTTAGGCCTGGGTATATTTTCTGTATTCTGTGACTTTGAAGTATGTTCTTTGGTTGTTCCCTAAAAGTTTAGGTTTAGGCTTAATACCATCTTACGTAATTAAGCATTTTTTACTTAAATCTTCAAATCTTAAATCCTCAAATAGTTATTTAAGGCATAACTAGCTATGCAGAGTAAACACAGAAACGGAAAAACTGAAGTCTACAATCTGACCTCTCCTTTCTCAACAAAGTATTAACTGGCTGCCTGCAAACAGGAGAGAATATAGCGTTTCTGAAATATGACCCCACAGCGCTGTTCGTGTAAAAAACACTTGGCACGATTAGTGTCTTGGCTTTATTGATTAGCCCTGTTGTAAGCTATGGGTCTGACACAGTCACACACCGTAGTAAACTTGGTTCCCGATAGCAGTGTAATCCTACAAGTATCCTTCAATGTCTCAATTTGCTGTGCTTTACTGCTTGTACTGAATTCCTTGAGCCTGTAGCTTTTTGGGCTTTGGGACTCAGACTAGCTCATAGGTGTAGTTTTATGCTGTTCTCTGGTCCCCATGGTTGTAGTGTCACTATACTGAGGTGAGTACTTGCTGTCAGAGCCAGGATGGAAGCCAGAAGTTCATTTCTTCACTGTTCTCGCTCGTCGTGCTTTAAAGTAGTATCTTTCTCAGCCTTTGCTACAAAGCTACTTTAATAATACTCTATTTATTTTAATGGGTGGAAGAACAGATCTTTGCCTTATTTTCTTGAATGAAATTAAAGGGCTGGTGTTTTCAAAGAAACTTAGCTTACATGCTCTTCTCCCTCTGTCTAGAAACCAACAGCAGCATATTTGAGTTCACTCAGCAGCCCGCTGCCTTGGGAAGGAGAGGAGTATTTGAAACCAGAGCTAGAAGATGATCCTCTACTTCAGTTCGGTAAATAAATACGTTTTAGTATGACTGTACTGCGTTGTGGGGTAAATGTGGTATTGGCAGAGTTTCTGTCATACACAGCATCATTATTCAGTTGACTTAAGTAGATGAGAAAGTCCATGTAATAGCTGAAGTCGTGACATTAAGTCACGCTCTGAAATGTTTACCACATGTTATATGTTGGTTTTTAATCGCTAAGACTTCCAGAGCCCTGTTTTATTGTCTGCGTTCACTTATTGTAGATATGATGTTCATAGCGGAGATGCTGTATGTAGTAATCAAGCAGGTCAAAGAGGCATTCCACCCAAGCTTTATTGGAAGATTTATGAAGCTTTTAAAGCTTCTAAATGTAGGTATTTAAAATCGGATGCATTCATTCAAAAATGTATGCTATAAGTAAGGAACAAGTAATTTGCCTTTTTGAAAGTATCTTCATCTTTTATACAGGTTCTATTTTGGACCAACCCAGTGTAAGATACTGCAGTTGTGTAGAAGAGTTCCGCTGCTTTAGCAGTTCTAGCGATCAGTACAAGCAGCCTTAGTTCCTCTCTCATGACAGTTCATCAGATGGTTTTGAGAGAATTCAGTTTGACTTTTGAACTTATTTTTGCTGCCCGTGATCCTCCCACTCTTTTGCTATTTTGCACTTGACTGTACATCTTTTTTACCTAAACCATAAGGTACTTGGGGCTTGTGGATTTTTTCTTCTCCATACAGTCTGGAATGCAGTTTTGCCCTTTCCTAAGCAAGCCCTGCTGCATGATAGCAGAGATAATGTGTGGTAGAGGACGTTTGGTTGGTTACTTCAGGGATTTCATGTTTCACTATATCAGCTCCTGCCTAATGTGCGCTCTTTGCCCAAGCTATAGACTTTTGAGATGCTTTGAGGTGCCGTTGCAGTTGCTAAAGGGTTATGGGGGTGATCTGAACCTCTGAAATCTTACTTTAAGTACCTGTGCTTTGTTTCGGTTCCATGGGCCAAACAGTCAGTCTTCCATGATTAAAAGGAATAGATATATGGGGTTTTAATGAAGTCTTTCGCCCAATAAGCTGGCAGTAACTTCTTACTCTATCCAAAAACAGAGTAGCACCATTTTTTTTTATCCACCCATATCTGTTGAAATCACCAGCTGAATTTAGCAAGAGGTGAATGGGACCTAGTGCCGAGTCTGTTTTGGTAGTTAAAAAGCAATGTTTCGTCTAGATTAATTCTGCTTATACTCTTTTGTGTTTTGTGTGTTCATAAGCTTTATAAGAGCCCAAGGCATTGGTTTGAAAATTAAGAGTTACTGTTTAATTATTAAGAAATTTTAAATTTATATACCTTCTTACCTTTTACTATTACCATTAACAGCCCTTTTGGCCTCAGAATAACATAACTGGAAAAATAGAGGACAGGACTGCAATTAACTTAATTACAGTCTAAACCTAATGTCACTTTTATCAATAATCAAACACTGGTATTTAAAGAAGCCTGAATTGTGGATTTATGTGCTTTGTTAACTTAGAGCTTGCTTCTAGCATACTTGCTTTTACTGAGTAGTACTGTGTTTCGTGGTTAGTCCTATCAAATTCAGTGATGCTTCTTGTGAAACAGACTACTTGTACAAATCATCCAAAGACAGAAATAGCAACACTGAAAGCATCGTATGTTTATGAGCTGCTGTGAAGCAACACGTGACTGGTAGGTGTGGGTTTTTTTCTCCCCATTTCATCAGATATAGAAGATCTTTGTGAACCTGCAAACGTTTTGCCTTCTAATGGTTTAAATGATACCGTGATGCTCCTTGAACAATTAAAACATGCAGAACACAGAGCCAGACTTGCAGAAGCAGCCTTGGCTAGAGCACAAGATGATCTTGAAAAAATGAAGTAAGTGTTTGAACTTTGGGGTTTTTTATTTGATGTGTTTTAGGTGAGATGAGATGTTCATGTTTAAAGACCAATAGAAATTCGAAGAAGTGGTAGAACGTAACTACGGAATAAAACTCATGACTTGTGTTGGGACTGTAGGTTTGACACTTATCTTGTAGATGATTAGTAAATGTCTTGCAGATGACGAGCGAAAACTACACAAAACCTGCACAAATTGAAAGAGCAAAGTATGCTTAGGAAAGCTACATAAGCACATGGCCCAGAAACATGTATTTTGCTTCAGGCCACTCTTTGTTTTTCAGACGCTTTTCCATTAGTCCTTTAGATAGGAATTTAAACATTGAAGATGTACACCATGGAGAAGAGGGAGGTATTGACGAATTAAATATAGAACTCTCAGCATTTTCAGAGATGGCTCCAAACAATGGTTGTTAGTGGTAGAATCCAGTTACAGTTTGGAGAAACCTTCAATGAAATCAATAAACCAACTTTTCAGCTACTTTTATTTTCAGTCTCAGGTGTGGGTTCTGTTAGTAAGAATATTCAGTGCATCGCAATCAGGAATTGGGACATCCCCATAGCTGTACATGCTCCTTCTAAATCTTGAGGTCTTCAAAATATGGATTGATGATGCTCATGGATAAAATGGGAATATAAACTTCTTTTTGGGTCACATAGGATTAGATCCTGTACAAACATGTCATTTCAAGATCATACTGATTGGGCATTGAAGAACTGAAATTGTATTTAAGAGACTTGGAAAAATAATTCATGTTCTTTTGTGGAAAAGTAAAGCGGCAAAAACCTTGTTTTGTAAAATACATTTGAGGGTTTGTTGTACATTTTGAGAGTGCACGCTTGATGTTATTAGTAACTAAGTACACCAAAATAAATTTATGTATTCAAATCCTAACAGCTGTGAACAATTATACATGTCAAAAATGAACAGTTTTGTCAGCAGCTGGGTTGAACTTTTGCAAATCGTACTTTATAGCATACAGCACTTTTCGCATATCTCTGTGTACATTATGCATTAATTCATCATAAACAATAAGAATGAAAGAAATTTGTCGCTGTACTTGGAAAGCCTGGGTTTTTTTCTGTGGTGTCTTGTCTTATTCTTGTTCCCTGCTTTTTCATTTAAAAGAAAGAAAAACCTTTTCAGGTCATCAGTTGCAATTTCTTCTCAGCTCTCTGAACTTCAATCAGGCTTATCTAGATTGCTTTTTGAGGTTAGTGTATCAAATTATCTGCTGTTGTAAAAGGGAGCCTTTAATTTTTCTTTGTCAATGCAGGCTTTTCAATTCAGCAGGGATCGGCTGGCAGAAAAAATAGCCAGATGTAGATCTGATGAAGCAACACAGTTTTAAATTATAGACAGATGAACCAGTTGCATTGTAGTAGTCTACATGCTGTAATTCATAGCAATACTGATTCATGCTGGAGGTTACTCCACTGAAAGAGACCATCTACAGATGTTTCCTTTCGGGTAGACCTCTGCGAATTAAAGATAGCTTGGAAGTCTGATGTGGAGCAAGAATAGTGTACAGGACCCTACTCTACAGTAACCTGTTTTTCTATTGTTTTCTGTCATGGAAATAGGTTTATACCGGTATGTAGTGGGCTGGTTGGCTGACTGCAACTTCTGGAATAAAAAAAGCTAGATCAGGAGCTTTCTCATGCTATACGTAGCTACAGAGACTTCTTGGGAGACTAAGTAACTAACTTCTTTCAGTAGCAACGTGATTGCATTATGCAGGTCTTGCTCTCTTAAGATGTGCAAAAAATATTTTAGGTTTTTTAATGACTGCCTGTTCAGGACCAGTCATGCAGCTCCCTACAGATTGTTGCCTTCTGAGCCCGGGAGTAGTAGTATGAGGACACTCACTAGTTGAGTACGAAATTATTTCTGCTGAAATGTTTTTCCAAGTTTGCTAGACTGAGTAGACTTGTAGAACTATGAGAATTGAAAGGGGTACAAAGCAAAGACAGGTAGCAGGAGGCCTAGTGGGCTTTTGGTGTCCCCGTCCCCCCCCCCAAATGGTAACAGTTCTATAAATCAGCTCACCTCTAGCATTTGATGTAACTTAGAGATTTAAGAGCATGGCTTGTATATCCTGAATTTTTTAATCTGTCCCCTGTTTAGAGATGATGGCTTTTGTTTTTACTTATCTTCTTTTTTCTTGATTAAAAAGACAGGAGGGCAGCTCTGTCTCTAGAGTTTGTTTGGTACTTGTGTTGCATGGATAGGCTGGAGGAACTGTTGGCTGAATCCTTTTTAAATAATTTTAAATTTAAAATCGGGTTTAAATCTTACAAAATGCTAATTATACTTAATTGTATGTCATAGAACCTGTTTTTTGTAAGTTTCGATTTTTATCATTTTGATATTTATCTAAAAATAAGGAAAATGCAAACTGCTGTGGTAAAGAGCGATATTAAAACTAAGATCCAGACCTTACCTGTATGTCAGCAAGTATAGGAAGTTTCTGGTATTGACAAACTTTTAACACGAATTCCCTTACCACCTTCTCTTCCTCATCCAAACTAGTTAAGCAGAGAAGTATTTGACATGTCAGGACTGAAACAGTATTTTTGGTTTTGTTGTTCTATAAGGATGGTACTGGTAATGAGATGGTACCTATAGCTTCTATAGATTAAGCTGCTATTTAAGAAAGTATAACCACTGTTGAAGGTGAGCCTTGGCTGCTTTGGAGTGGTCTAGGATGCAAGTTTTGTTGATGTTGGACTGTAGACCTTGGAGGAATGTTGTCTGGCTGAAGCATGTTTGCTTTTTCACTTCATTGTGGGTATAGTATGAGCTGTTTGCTTGTCAACTTTTAATTGTGTTTTCATGATAAAACCCTTGATTTGTGTGTTTTGTCATCAAAACTGCTTTGAGAAATGAGAAGAGAACATGCATATTAGGAATGGAAGGCCATGGAGGAGGAAAACTAAGCAGCTTGAAATTAAAGTAATAAATTGAATTCGAAGCTCTGGTTTGTTCCCACCCAAATGCTTCAGTTTTCAAGTACTTTCTTCTACCTTCCACTAGTCGTGCGGCATTGTATGGTTTGTAGTTCTTGTGCTGTTTGTTGTATCGAGTCCATGTCTGCATCACACAGCCTACAACACGTGTTGTTTTGACCACTGTGGTACTAGCTTTTGTACTAGCGGGCACAAAATAGATAACTCCTCCTTAAAAACAGAAATGAAGTCTGAACGTTTCACTGCTGATATTTGCTGGTTGAAAGCAGAAAGTAGTCATTGCAGGAGGGTGATGGACAGAGGACGGAGCGTGGTGAATGGCGGTGCAGCAGCCTGGAGGAGCCGGCAGAGGGAGATTGTGCACACTTAAAACCGGTTCCATTGTTGTCAAAGCCCTTGTGCAGGCTGGGTTCCTTACCTCTTTCAAGCCCCTTCTCCCCCTCTACCCCCGCCTCCTTTTCATGGTCCCATAAACATGTCTCAAGGGTATATTTCAAATTGATTACAGACGATTTGCGCAGGATTTTGTGATGAACGCAGATGTCAGAAGCAGCTCGTCATCCAGCGCCATTGCAGACCTTCAGGAGGATGAGGATGGTGTTTACTTCAGCTCCTATGGGCATTATGGGATACACGAAGAGATGCTAAAGGTTAGAAAGTCATCTCAGCTGCATCTTAGTAGGACTAAAGAGGAAAGATGGGATGAAGCGGGCTGTGTGCCCATAAATATACTGCAGAGCAGCTGCATTTTTAACTCTTTCTATACATGATAGTTTTTTCCTAGGAGTTGCGTTGAGAGATCTTTTTCCAGTTTTATTTCCTTTGTATAAATTCTGTTTACTCTATGGGAAGCATTAGGAAAGTAAAATCATTTACTCTACCGATGTGCTTGAAGATCTATGACAATATATGTACACAACCTTACCTTGCCAAAAGCAGCTTTTTCCTGGGTGCTTAAAAGATAAAACGTGGTACAGACTGAATATTTTCCTTTGGTTTATATTTTCCTAACAATTGAAATTTGTTAGGCAAAAGCACTTCTCAAATATTGTGGTTACCTATTACATTAAGTAAACAGAAATTGTTGGTATTTGTGCACAGCTCAGTGTATTGATAACATGACATTGAACAGCTGGAAAAATTGTATGCTCCTTTTATATGATAACGATAAAATAATTAAGGCTTAAAACTCTTCAAAGGCAAACCTGTGTATGCCCTAAAAAAAAAAAAACCTAACAAACAAACACAAAACCCAACAACTTATAATTGACATGAAAATCAAAATCTCTTAATGCTTCCTTTCAGAGAAAGTATCATAGCTGTGAAAGTCATAAACAGTCTTATCATTTTAAGACAGAAATAAATAAAATTCCTGCCTAATGTAGAGATAGAATACGGGAGTTGTGAAGTGACTCTGTCCATAGAGGTAGCATATAAAGTTTTCTGCTTTCTATATCATTTAGTGGCCCCGATACAGAAATACGCGTGAACCTGTGTTAGGAATAGTATAAGCATGAGGTTAACTTGGGGGGGGGGGGGAGGGTTTGGGGGCAGGGGTTTTACAGAAGCACAGAGATGTCTGCAGAGGTAGAACAATGTTTTCCAAAATGTATAGTCTAGAGAAACATATTTAAAGTCTTGAAGAGAAATAAAAATTACAGAAGTTTGGTATTGCAGTTGTATAAAGGTGTCATTTGAGATGTTATATGTTATAGGATGAGCAAGCCTTTCTGTTTGCTAATAAAGTTTGTAATAATTCTGGAGATTGGGACAAAATCGTATTTTATTGGTTTCAGGGAATGTTCATCAAAATGCTTTTAAGAAGAATTTTGACTTTCCTAAACATAGGAAAGCAATTGATTTTATCATGTGTGTTGAATTTTTTTCCTATATGCTAGGCATTCACTTTGATTTTTTTTTTTTTTTCTTTTTACGGTAGACATACAGTCTACCTTATTTATATAAATATAGTGGCTTGCTACATTGAAATTTTTAAGAAAGGAGTCTTGCTGTCTCAACTTTAAGTCTGTTTCTGACACTGTTCAGTTTTGAAACCTTTTTTTCTCTTATGCCTGGTAGTGGTAGGATGAAATTTCAATTCGGGTTTTTTTGCTGCAAATACTTCAGAGGTGGGGGAAGAGTGTTGTTACTTCACACTGGCCAAATGGCTACTGTTTCCCTTGTTCTATTTTTTTGCCTCAGAATTTCTTGACTCACCTTAATAAATTTCCTTACCATTTCATTTAAAAACAAAACAAAACCCAGCATTACATTGAAATGGTGAGCGAGATAATGGAATTGATGAGTAGAGAGACCTGAAGTGAATGACTGTGGCTCGCTCGAGCAGCAGTGCATATAGTAGAGACAGCAGCTAGAATTGTATTGATTAAGTTGGGGCAGTGCTGAGGTGATGTGAGTGGGCAGGATGTACGGCTGAAAGCTTTCCAGCTGACTGCTTTCTCGATTGATGCTGAACCTTCTGATTTTTTTTTTAAACTTTTTGGTCATTTCAGCAAAACCTATTATATACTGCCATAGAGGTGAAGTACTAAAAATAGTTCCTCTGAATATAATGTCATAGTAAACCAATATGATTTTAAAGGATCCCAATTTTCTTATTCATGTTAATTATGTATAATTTCAAAGTACAATTTTCTAAAATCATCCCTAACTGTTTCTTTGGGCTCTGTGTGTGTGTGATAATCCTCCTAAACTTAAAACTGGATTTCAGTATTTTCAAGGCTCAAAATTGTTTTGTCTCCAGAATTTTTATGAACATATCCTTTGTTCTCAGTCTCTGTTTTTTGAACTTGTTTTTCTAATAAAATAGACTTTGTTCTTTCTCACTAGAGAAAATTTCTCTAGTTTCTGTATTGCTTCTAAAAATTCTTACCTGCCATAGCAGAAGGATGTTAACTTAAATATAAGCAGTTGGATTTTTGTACTTCAGTATTATTTGTAGACTTGTCTTTAACAGATAAAAATTGCTTAAAATTTTTCTTTTACTTTGCTCTAACATTTGAACTGCAACAACAATTCCAAAACCTATACTTGGTTGTCAATTTGTGTACCTGCTGATGCATATTAAGAGAATCAATGTTTTAATATATTACCTTGCTGGTAGATTGAGCTATACTACTAGCTTTCGTATACTGAGATACTATAAATGTTTAGTGATATACTTGAAAACATTACAGCTTCTCAGGTCATGTTGTATTACAGTTAAGTTTGTTTATTATATTGGGCTTTCATAGAATGGGCTGTACAGCTTCAGTTACAGCTTGTCATCAGGTTTGCAAATTTGCAGTTTGTTCAGAAATAGAAAAGGTTAATCTGATCCATAACTTTTTTTTTTGGAGGAATCTGTGTGTCACAGGAGTGTCAGAGAATAAAATGATACGAAACATTTTATGAGCTCGTGACTCAAATTTTTACCGTTGTATAGAAGGTTGTTATGTAAAGTTGATGCAGTATTGGTACTCCATTACTGCTGTTCCTGGAAGGTGGTGAAGAGGTATTAAGAACTTTGAAACATCCAAAATTAAATGCAGCAGGTCAAAAAAGTGTACGCTAATTTCTTACTTTTCCTCCAGAGGCTCAGCTGGCTTCATTTGCAAAGACAATAAATTCTGAAAGAATGTAGTATGGAAAGTGTCGTGATTGCAGAGCCCTTGTAAGTACAGTAGCCACAAAATACCTTTAGGCCAAGTTAAAAAGCAAGTTTCTCAGCGTTTTTGAACGATATGTTGTACGTAAGTAGAAAAAGTGAACATTGTTTTTTATTCTTTAAATCATAGGATAAAGTGCGTACAGAAAGCTATCGTGACTTCATCTATCAAAACCCACATATCTTCAAGGACAAGGTAGGTAAAACAGCTCAGAAAATACAGTAATTTCTGCACTTTATTTTTTCTCAAGTGGTAGAAATCCTTCAGGTTGGCTATTTTGCAGCTTTGGGAGTGGAATACCGCACTGACAAGATTTGATTTAATGTACGTTGGCTTTATTAGGTGGTAGAGTGCTATTCAACTGCTGGAGGGTGCAAAGTGCTGATAACAGAAGTGCTGATCGCTATTGTCATTGTTCTGTGTGCCATGTCGGGATGTTCATTAATTATGTTGGCGGGGTTAAGTTGAGCCTTTCTTGTCCAGTATATTATGTGGAATCTATCTTAGAGGGCCTCTTTACCAGAATTTAAGTGAATTTTAGTTTGTGCCTGATACAGTAAAAACACTGTAGAAGCACTGTGTAATTACAGCTGGGGAAGAATTCATATGTAACTGACTTAATGAATTAGTGTTGTTTAGTCTCTCCAGACTAGGTTGTTATTATTCAGGGACTTAGAACCAGGAACTAGTATTTCACTTGCAGTGAAGAGAGATGGCATTGACTTTTGTTTATGATCTTACTGTGGTTATGACCCCTGCACAGTTACGATCCTCTTCTTGTCTTCTGTGTTTCTGCTGGCTGTTTCTGATGAGTTTGTTGCGTTCTGAGTTATGCTGTGCAGCCTTCTGGTCTGGATTAGCTTTCCTCTACTTAGTGCTTGCCATTCTTAAGCTGTGTATGGATATTTCTTAATGTGAAACCAGGATGTCTAGGTTTATGGAAGGCAATCACTGTTGATTTGTTATTTTGGTTTTGATTGAGACTTTGTTAATAAGTGATAATACAAGGCTTCGGAATAGTTGTGGAAGTAATAAAAGTGCACCCATCTGATAGTTCCTCAGTTGGAAATTGTGCTAGATACGGTTTTGTCCTAGGCGGGAGGTATTTCAAGGTAGATAGTGCATACTCTTTGTGTGTCTTACCTCAGTTTTCTTTTGGCAAGTACCGCAGAAAAATATTAGGAAAAGAGTTTTCTTCCTTTTTGCTTCAATCCATGTCACAAGCCTGTTTCTACTAAACTTTTCTAAGCTCTTTATTTATAATGAGAGAACAAGCAGAAGTGTTGTAGAAACATTATGCTGCCAGCTACTTAAAAGATGCCGGTGACTGCATAGCTGGGCGGCTCATCCAACAAAGCAGAAAGATCAATAAAGGAAAGAAAACTTTCTTGGGAGAAATTTAGTTTCACAGATGCCCCTAAAATTGGTAACTGCAGGTTTTCACGGGGTAAGACTGATCTTAAGTTACATGGAACCTAGTGGAACAGTAATTTTTCAGGATTGGTCGTGTTTCTCCTCTGTTGTATGGACATATTGGTAACATTTGAAACAAAACATGGGTGAACTGTTCTGGACAATGTTCTTTCAGCCCCAGCCGTGGACGCACTTGCTCAGGAATGAGCTAGAAAACGTGTGTGCTTCATCTGTGTTTTTACTTCACGTGAAAGCATTCAACTTCTAAAGAAAAGCTTGTCTATTATCACAACATCTACGAATTGGTTCCTGAACTCAGTGTTTTTACAGCAGTTTTTTGATCACTGTTACCTCAAATTCATAGTGTGTTGAGGCTGAATGGAAAGAAAGATTCTCGGTTGCTTTGAGTTCCCAACAGCTTCCATCCAGGTGACCAGCACCCCACTTAACTTCTGTGTCTGACTAAATGTTGATGTAGCTTTCACTTGGTATGCCGTTGTGGAGAATATATGGGATTTTTTTCAGAGATCTAGCTTTGAAGTGACATCTGTTACAGACTTCTGCTGTAGGAACTGTTAAGATGTTTTGCTTAATTTACGTATCGTATGGTGCTCTCAGAACCATATTAATAAGTGAAACTTCCAACTTGAGGAAATAGGCTGTTTTCCCTTAAAGTTTGATTACAATTTAAAAAAAAAAGGTGAGTAAAAGTCTGATACCGTATTTCCTAGAACTCCCGTATGGTATTCCTCCCTAGAAAATACATAGTGATGCTTTTTGTTGTTTTTGAAAGGACACCTGTGAGGTGGGTTGGGAGGAGCTTGTTGAAAGAGCTGGATTGGTCATACTAGCTTTTGATGCAAATCTGCAGTATCCCAAAGAGGGGTGATGATAACACCCCTGGTAACAGATGATAACAGAATATCTAAGTTTATTATGCATACTTTATTCAGAACCGGCCAATTTGTTTGTTCTTTCTCAGCTTTCAAAAGAAATTATTAAAACCTGAATGAATCCTGCTTGCTGCCTTTATTTTCAGCCTGTCAGATGTACTTGAGATGAGAATAGGACAATTTAGATTACCTAGCAGGAGCAGTGAAGGTGGCCTTCCTCAGTAAAAGGAAATGTGATCCATTTTACAGCAAGAGTATTTTTTGGTGGAAAAATAGTTCGTTAGAAAAGCACTATTGCCATGCTTAGTTTTTGTTGTAGAATAGAAGACTGAGGCAGGCATCAATGCCATATTGAGGGGAAAAAATGAGTTTTTAAACATTGTTCCTACTAAAAGTTCACTGATGGAATTAATTGGCCAAATTACCTGACTTCCTGTTTTTCTGAATTTGAAATAATTTTTTTCTGTTGCTAGAAGTAGAATATCAGTTTTGATTAGACTGCAGAGAAGGATGTGATGCTGCAGTACATGATGGTATAGTCAAATCGCCAGTCCAGCTGCTCCAGATCTCTGGTGAGAGGCCATATGTGATCACCGCAAGAACGCGTTAGCTGCAGACCCTTGTCCTTAGGCTAATTGGTGATCATTCTGCTTGTCTTTCCGTTCCTCAGATGTGTTCCAGCTTGTATATTTTCTCTCCAGTGCCTTTTTCTCCCCCCCTGTCCCCTGCCTAAGGCTAGATGAATTCCATCTGGGTTTTTAAGTGACCAGGGCAGCTGTCCAAAGTGGTGTCTGTTTTGATTTTTTTCCAATTTGTGGTGATTGCTCTCTTTCATGCAACTGTACATCAAGATCATTCTTTCACAGAGGTTTATTTTTGGCTCTGACTTCCAGCTTTCATGGCTCAGCAATTTTGTTAACTGCCATGGGTAAAGTGTTAGAATAGATGGTGTTAGGGGGCGTGAGATTTCAGCAGTTGCAAGAGCATTGATTTTTACTTTCTGTTCCTGTCTCCAGAAGACTTCAGCCTAGGGATTTCTGTAGCCGTTACGTGCTCACATGTAACTTGTGAATGAGTTGTAGAATTGACTCGTATTGGAACATAGCTGCAAAGAGTTCTAAGTGGAACAGGTAACTCTGACCACAGCTTCTGTGGCCAGTCTCTACACAAGATGCTGTAAAAATACTCGTCACGCTAGTGTTTTCTAGCCTGATTCCAGATTGTAAGTTGCTCTATGAAGACAGGTGGCAGTCAACTCTTCAGTCATGGCTTCCCAGTATGCCATAGCAGAAGCTCAACTTACACTGTGCTGCTAAGGATAAACGGCTATTTTTATTCATGCTGGTTTTAGAATCATTGTTCTGTATCCATCATCAAAATGTATAGAATTGTATGCAAGGCAAGCAGCCCTAATGTGCAGAGCATTCAAGTACTTTGATTCTATTTGTCAGGTGAAATTTGAAAGTGCACATGCAAGTTTTTGTTGTGCCAAAGCAAGAATGTTCAATAGCTCATGAGCTAGAAAGTTTGTCAGTAGCGTGCATTATTGCCTTGAAATATTTTGTAAAATGCGGTTATAATTCTCAAGTGTGGGATTGATTACTGAGTGATTTGATGCCTTCTTTGGAAAAAAAAATTAACGTCAAGAAAGCTGTGAGGACAGCTTTTACAAGACTGGATGCTGTGCTAAGGAGAGACAGTGAAGTAAGTTAGTTTTGCTTTGTAATAAATGATTTTTATGACTAGTAATTCTGACTCAATGTTCCTGTTACCTTAGAAGTGCTTTAGTAAGTTGTGCTTGCTCTCTTGTTTAGGTCTCTTGTATGGAAAGGAAGTCTTGTCTTTCCAGTTCTGATTCTGTTAATGCTTAAATGCTATGCATGATAGGAGTGACTGTACATAGTGTTTAGGAAACTTTTTTGATTTTCAGATTTCAGAACATTTTTGTGTTTAGTGCTTAGAATTTTTAAACACCATTAGTAAAGCTTAACTATATTAGGTAGAAGTCTAACAATAAGACAGCTGATGATCTTGCCAATGCAACAGAAGGCACCCTCAGCAAATTTGCAGATGATGCAAAACTGGGAGGAGTGCTTGATACACTGCATGGTTGTGCTGCCATTCAGAAGGACCTCCATAGGCTGGAGAAATGGGCCAACGGGTGTCCTGTGCAAAGGGTTTGGGGCAATCAAAGGCCAATGCAAAATCCTGCAGAGGGGAGGGAAGAATAACCCCATGCATCAACAGAGGCTGGGGGGCTGCTGGCTGGAAAGCAGCTTTGCAGAAAAGAATTTGGCGGTCCTGGTCAACCCCCAAGTTGACCATCAGCCAGCAGCACACACCCTTGTGGCAAAGGCAGCCAACCAGCCTCCTGGCCTGCGTTAGGAAGACGACTTGTCGCCAGCAGGTCAAGAGAGGTGAGCCTTCCTTGTACCCCAGGGAGATGACTTGTGGAGTGCTGTGCCCAGTCCTGGGCTCGCCAGTGCAAGAGTGAGATGAGTGTCCTGGAGTGAGACCAGTGAAAGACACAAAGATGGTGAAGGGACAGGAGCATCTGTGATATAGGGAGAGGCTGAAAGAGCTGGGGTTGTTTTGTCTGGAGGAGAGAAGGTTCAGGAGGGATTGTATCAGTGTGTATAAATGCCTGGTGGTGCGGGGAGTAAAGAAGGTGGAGCCAGACTCTTCTCAGTGGTGCTCAGAGGCAGGACAGGAATCAGCGGTCACAGATTGAACTCGAGGCAGTTGCCTTTAGAGATCAGGAAACGCTGTTTTGCTGTGAGGGCAATTGAACGGTGGCACAGGTTGCCCAGAGAGGTTGTGGAGTGTCCATCCTTGGAGATAGTCAAAAGCCATTTGGGCATGGTCCTGAGCAACCTGCTCTAGTTGACCTTGCTTTGAGGAGGGGGTTGGACTAAGTGATCTCCGGAGGTCCCTTTCAACCTCGATTATCTGTGTTTCTTTGAAAATGTCAAATATGAAACTCATAGCTTAAAAATCTACTGTAACACATTCAGTTTTTAGTTTTTAAGCTGTTGAGGAGTTTCCAGCTGTTAGAAAAAATATACTATTATTATGATGCTGAGGCCTGAACAAGGCTGCTTGGTAAAATCTCTGCTTTATGAAGTTCAACACTGCTGGCAGCTCCACTCTACTAATTTATATATTTGGTACTATTTTCTTAGTCGCTTCGCATTTTTGAACTTTTCCATCTTCCTACAGTAGCTAATAGGTGAGATACCAAAACCAAGCATTTGAGTGACTCTTGTTCCTTTTTTCAAGTGTAGTGATAAAATTTATTTTTCTTTCATGAAAACTTAAGGATCCCATCTTCCTGGATTTTTTTTTTTTTGGCCCTACTTTGATTATAAATAGTTTTAGACAGAAAACATTTCCAGGTCTTAAAACTGTGCCAGTTACCATTTCGAAATTTAGTCATCTTGAGCCATAGCTGTTTAGAGGCACTGTGGCCATTTCTAGCAGATGTTTAGAGGCACTGTGGCCATTTCTAGCAGGAGACTCCTAAATAACGTTTCTGAATAGACTCTTAATGAGAAACTGCGGTTAGAATATGTTTTTTCAGTGGCAGTGCTAAATTCAGTTGTTGGTGATTCACTGATTAAAATTGTTCAGGCTCTAATTTCCTGTTTCTCCTGTTCAAGTAACTTTTTAATTGTTGCCCAAATAATTGCTTGTGATTGTTTCCCATGGGACTGAGTTCATCTGCAGCTGGAGCTAGTCTGCTTCGTTGTCTGTCTGTAAAAGGTGGTAGAGGGTGTGGAGTTAGAACTGCAGTTTGACTTGGATATCTCTGAGTGTAATAGCAAGACTCGATGCTACTGTTTGTTCCTTCTGTTAGGATATGGTATCTCACTGATGTAGAAAGATGTGTGTAAAAAAAAAAAAATCATAGCAAGGGAAATAAATAGAGATAAAAATAAACGTCTTACTTGTTTCAGGTGGTTTTGGATGTTGGCTGTGGAACTGGAATACTCTCCATGTTTGCTGCCAAAGCAGGCGCGAAGAAAGTGATTGGAGTTGACCAATCTGAAATCGTCTATCAGGCCATGGACATCATTAGGTAGGAAAAGTTCCAAGAAAAGTATGGTAAATATTGCTGTAAAAAGTTATTAAAATGCTGTTACTAGTTAATGATCACCTATCACTCAGTATGTGTTTTATTGAAGTCCTTCTTTGTCCTAAGAATTAACGCAGATTTTGATGTGTGGTAAAGTTGTTTGCCCCTCTGGTAGGGGTAATTAAAACAGGGCTGTAGTTAAGGCAGGATGTTTCCCAGACCTCCCTCCTAATGTTAGCATAGGGCCAGTGCCACCTTGCTGCAGGGGCTCCAATTGACTGCTGTCAGTCTGTTTTCCGTGCTTACGCTTTAAATGTTGCTACTGGTAAAATTGCAGGTTTTTAGACAACAAACATTAGAGTTGAGACATGTTCCAAGAGGATGCGAGAAGCTTTTCCTGGCTGCGCTACTTTGAGTTAAAGAAACTGTTCTGATTTAGATAAACCCAGTAAAAGTTGTTTAAGTGTGTGTGTAGATATAGTTGTTTAACTTTCTGTTTCTATATGGGAATTTTAAATAATGATATAATTTCTATATAATTTAATTTTCTGTTATAGAAAATTAATTTTATAGAAAGTATTTTATAGAAGCCTAGAAATTAGAACTATAGAAATACAGACACTTTATTTTTATAGAAATTTTTTTTAATGTTCTTGAAAATTAAACAAATTTAACTCAATTCATCTAAATGTATATATATTTTAGATCATGTTGGAACTGTGATGTTTTTAAACAAAAGCTTGTCATGCATTAGTTTTTACCAATTCTAGCACATAAAAAGGAGACGTGTAACGTAGCTTTCTTTGGCAAATAGATTTTATAATTATATGGTATTTTAGTCTTAACTTGTGGAAAACCTTTTTCCTAGTAAAGTTCTCTCTGCGTTGGTATATTTAAGGGATTCTCTGTGAGAATAGTAAATGTCTATTACCCTGTGTTTTGTTCCTTTAGAAACCTACTGACCTCTGGTTTTCATGCTAGTTGGAAAGTGATTACTACTGTACTGTAATATTTTCTACAGTTTGTGGGGGGAGGGGAAGGCAAACCAACTAATCAAAAAAAAAAAACCCTCAAAACCAAATCCATTTTAAGAGCATGCACACAAACACATGCACACAGTCTGCAGACTCACTGAGAAAAGCTGTTTCCAGGAGAACTACAAAGATGTTGCATGCCATGTAAACTGTCATGGAATAGTACAAGGTGGAAGGGACCCCGGGGGAGCGTGGGGAGCGTGTCTAGTCCATTCGTCCTCTGTCAGAGCAGGCTCAGCTCCAATAGGTGGCTCAGGCCTTGGCTAGTCAAGTTCTGAACATTGCCACTTCTGCCTGAACTTCTCTGGAAAACGTGTCTTGTTTGACTAGCCTCACTCTTACTTTTGAAATACCAAATTGTAGCTTCCATTGTTCCAATTTGTGTCTGTTGCCTGTCATCCAGTCCCTGTGATACAAGAGAAGAGCTTGGCTCTGTCTTCTCTTCACCCTTCTGCTAGACAGAGGCAGATATCAGAAACCCGTCCCTTAACCATCCCTTCTTAAGGCTGAACAAACCCAGTTCTCTCAGCTTCTCCCTGTATGTCACGTGCTCCAGCCCTCCATCATCTTGCTCCGGTATGTCAATGCCTGTCTTGTACTGGGGAGCCCACAACTGGACACAGTACTCCGGATGCAGTTTTGCAAGTGTCAAATTGAGGGGAAAGATCACTTTCCTTGACCTGCTGCTGCCCTCTTGCATATATGACACAGTAGACAGTTGGCCACTTTTGCTACAAGGGGACACTGCTGACTTATGTTCAACTTGTTCACCAGGCCCCTTGTCAGGGCAGGGTGGGGAGCAGCAAGCAGAGCTGATTTCTGACCAGCAGGAACCCCCTGTTTCATGGGGTTATTCCAGCCAAGGTGCAGGTCTTCACCTTTGCCTTTGCTGGATCTCTGAGGTTCCTGTCAGCCATTCTACTCCGCTCTGGTGAGACCCCACCTGGAGTCCTGCGTCCAGCTCTGGAGCCCTCAGCATGAGAAAGACACGGACCTGTTGGAGCGGGTCCAGAGGAGGGCCATGAAAATGATCAGGGGGATGGAACACCTCTCCTATGAAGAAAGGCTGAGAGAGTTGGGGTTGTTCAGCCTAGAGAAGAGAAGGCTT